CCATGTCGTCTCATCTGTGCGTATCAGATGTAGGAAATTTGACATGAGTGAAAAGGAAAGTAACAACCCAACGGTCTTCTCCCAGAAGTATATGCAGAACGATGCCGTTATATTAGAATTATGTGTTTACAGCCCGCAGCCGAATGTGAATTGTGAGAGCAGGGCTAGGAGGTGACTTTTATAATGCCTGTATCCAGCAGCAATTCATGACGGCCGTTCCAAGGAGTAATGGCAACAAAAGCTCGAACGTGAATGTCGAAGGTCGATCGCTCATTAGCTGAGGGCAGCAATCATAGCGGTTAAAATCGTAGAATGAGGTTAAGATCAAGCTGCTGAATTGATGTCAGTGTCGTATACGAAGGCATGTTTTGGGGGGGGAAGACACTCACATCGCGGAGGACGAGGTGGACAGAGAGGGCCGATCACCACACTGATAGAGTTGCCGAGCAGCTCTCAAGAGGCGCTGGAGGCGGTGCAAGGCTGTCCCCTGCCGACTTTCAAAGCTGACTGAGGCCACAGAGGGAAAATTCCAGGCTGCAGGCCGGAGACTTGGAGCTCCCTGGGGCAGGGCTGTATGGAGGAACAGCAACCGGCACGAGCGCGGCGAAAAAAAGGCCAAGAATTGACGGCGTGTGGGAGTGAGGGCGACGAATCCCGGGGATATGATCGGACGAAAGGTCTCTGCCGCTGTCGAGGTGGCTGCCGTGTCAAGGGAGGCAAGGCGAGGTCGCGGAGGTGAAGTCGAGAAGAGACGAGGAGACGTCGAGATGATGACGGAGGACGAGGACGACAGCAGAAAAGTAACACTAGAAAAGGCAAAGGGAGCAGGGGCCAGAATGGGGCTTGGCGTCGCTCTCTTTATTTCGCGGGGGAGTCACGTGGAGAGCCAAAAACGACGAACAAGAAGGGAAAAAACATAGAAAAGACAGAAAGACGACGACGACGACGAAGACGATGAAGAACAGGAAGATAGGAGAAAGGGACGGGGGAGAAGAGACTACGATACACGGGGCGGACAGAGACAAACGGACAGCGACAAACGACAAGGCCAGGCAAAAAAAGAGAGGGAGAAACGACTCGACGTGCGCAGGTGCATTTCAGCCCCTGTTTCAACCCGCTGAGTGTTCCTCGCCTGCTGCGGGTTTGTCATCGCCTTCCCTCAACCCGGCCACCCGCTTTTCTAGAAGCTCGGCAGCGATGCTCCCTGCTTGCTCCTGGCTCTTGGGCTCCTGGCTGCTCGATGCAATATCTGCAGCGCTGCCTCGGATCCCTGCATCATAACTCGACTAATACACTGACAAAACCCACCTGATGCGCTGGCGAACTCGCTCTCCCAGCACCCATTGGCCACAGCAGGACCCCTTGTCCAGTCAGGAGAGTCACCTCCAGCTCCACTGCACACAGGAGTCGATTCGATCCCATAGCGTGTGTATTGTTTTTCTTCTTCTCTTTTCTTTTTTTTTTGTATTTTTTGTTTTCTCAAAGCTTATATTCGATGACGGAGAATGGAGAACGGAGAACGGAGAAGGGCTCAGGAGAAAGCCATTCCAAGCTGCGAATCCGTCCAGTCGAGAGAGGCATAAGAAGGGCACGCGAGCAGTGACGAGACCTGCAAATATACTTCGCGGCACTAGAACGCCGTTAGACGGAGAGTAAGATTACACACTCGTTAGTTCAACCATCTTTGTCTAGGTAAACCTAGAGCCACGGATATCGAATGGGGCGTTCTCGTCTAATTCATATCAAGTTTGATGAATGGCTTCAGGGCAAACTGCGACAGGCGGCTGCTCCTGCTGCAAACCAGAAGTATAACAATAATAGCCGGTTTATTCGTCAATGCGAGGCCTTATTTATGCTCGGGTATTGCCACCATCACGATCAGCTACATAAATGGCAGGAATCTCCAGGGAAGATCTTGTCCGGTTGTCACACTTAGTTCTGGCCCGTGTTGCCGATGTCTGGGGAACTCTTGTCGACACATACATATGTAGCTAATGGCTATATCTCCTGGCATTAAGGACAAGCTAATTTAGGAGCAGAGATAAGGAGATCCCCCTAGTGCATTCGGTCAGAAGAACAAGAAAGAGGCACACACACTCACACACACACATGTATATATATATCATCAGCAGTCTGTCGCATGGATACCCGCTGTATCTGCTCACTTCTACAGAGTACAGATTATATTAATTTTTGTGGTTGTCCAGAGTTACACTACAGAGTATCTGTCAAGGCGACAGGCAGGGAACCGTTAACTTCCCTGATTTATCGCGAGGGAAGCTTAAACCTGCAGCTATTTATGATTTAAAGATAAACGATTGGTTCATTACAATCATTTGTCCTATGACCCTGACTAACTAATAAGATATTTGCTTATGTAAGTTTGTTACTTTAAACGACTGTTAGAGCAATGAGATATGAATATTAGTACAGGGTGTACAAGTTAAAAAACATCTCTTACGTAGCAGACTAGTTAACTAAAGCTCGGTAGTTGTTAATAGAATAAATACGTGTCACTCTGCAACGGCTTGAGGATTACTAGTTGGTCGTTCCTCACAGAGCCGCAACAACGTCATTTTTAATGTTCGACGTTCAAGGCACAGTTAATAATAATAAAGGGTTTGAAAAGACGTAGTGTCAACCCGAATGTATTCTCTGATCTAGTACTGCAAATTACCTAGTCCCAAACTCCATAAGATAAACTGATGATAAGTGAACAGATTGAAGTAACAAATTGCTGGGCGAGGATGATGCACAAGAGCTGCCAAAACCAAGCCTCTTATGCCACCGGATTATCCAAATCAATAAAACTCATATGTGGTGTATATATCCACAGTAGTGGTTACTGTAGCCAACTGTGGACGGATCGAAAACTGTCCACCCGAAATAGCATCACGAATATCGATGGGTAGCATGGGGTAGAAGATGCCCAATGAACCGCATGGGCCTTCGGTTATAATTTCACGGTCGCATAGACACTCAAGTCTGCCCATAGGTATACCTGAATTCATGTGTAGTTGGAAAAGGGTCGCATCAGATACTGGGCCATAGTCTGGCAGTAGCGATGGGAATACAGGTGGCGGGTCGCAGCATTCTCCCGGGCAGCAGCCATATCGACATAAGTTTGAGTCGTAATAATCAGAATCACGACGACGTGAGCGTCGACTTCTGCGTGAGCGGCGGGATACACGACCATCCCCCTCATCGCCGAAAAAGAGACTTCGGCGGCCGGTAGTGCTGGGTGGGGTCCTATCATAATCTCTTCGGCTGCGGGAACTGCCAGCTGGAGCAAGGTCATCATAGTTTCTCCGGCCGCCTGTATATAGTATCAACGCAGTGCTGGTGGATGATGAGCCAGGATCTCGGGGTGCAGTATAACTCCTAGGAGTGTCTGACACTCTAGATGATCCGTAGGCTCGGGATGCTCTAGAGCTTCCGGATCGTTCGTACCCGCTAGGTGGTCGTAGCGAGCTAGTCGTATAACGCTTGGAGTCGCGTTCTTTGTATTCTGGTGGATTGCTTCCAGCATCAGTAAGAAAGTCCGGAACCGCCAATCTGCCAGAACGGCCAGTGTATCCTTTCTTCGTAACCATGATGGGCATTCCGGGCAGAATTGCGTTATAGAAATGATAAACCTGAAAGGAGATAGTTGTGAGTGTCCAGGAAGTGGAAGAACTGGGCTACCACTGCGGTATTTATGTACCCATTTCAGCAAGGGGAAGATTTGTGACTCCCAAATTTCCGTAATGAAGTCACATTCCCAAACGGGAAGTGGGCCTTGTTAATTCAATCCCTTGCCTAATTCCATGGATATATGCATAATGGAGAGTGTGAAGAGATTGTAGCCCTTTGAATAGAGCTGTCACTGCTCTATGGAAATCCTGGCTTGCCCAAGACATTGAACATAAATTGAATATACTGGGGCCGGGATCCTCGGAATGATGCAAACACATCCTGAAGTAACCCATACGCCAGGCTCAGCTTGAGCCCAACTTTTGCCGTTCGAGCTGCCGTATAGACATCGTGACGGGCTGACGAGCAAACATTGAATTAGCAACCAGTTATTACAAGCTAGAATCCCCTTGATAAAGATAGAGAGGGAGTGAAAAAATATATTACCGAGCAAGCTGTAGACTCCGGAGAATGATAACCCAGCAGTGACCGTGGATAAAAAGTCACGGTTCCCACGCGCATGGTCCACAGTTTCTTCAAATATGCAGAAGGCAACGGCTCCAATTCCAACCTTCATGCCCAGTTTTGTGCCTTCCTTCAACCCCCCTATCATGGACGTGTAATTCTTGCTCTTGTGGTACTGGTACCACCCAGTCGGGCTAGTAGGAAAGCGGTGGGCGTTCTCAGCACGGAATCGGAATGAAGCCTTGGTGCTTCCGTGAGAAGCTCCTAGAGCTAACCCCGAGGCGAATGCAGCTATTGCACTTAGCGGCAGACGAATGCCCACGTCTGTCCCTAGACGCGGAGGATTTTTGTTGTCGAAAACAGCCGATAGTGTCCCGTCATCTTCCTGGGGCAAAACTTGTTCTTGCAGTGACCCCATGGCGCCAATTGCGTGTTCTCTGCTATAGCTGCCGCTCCTGCGTAATATTAAAATGTCGAAGTGTTGTGCTGTGGTCTTCTTCAAGTCAAAGAGCTTGATGATATGGATGTTTTTTTATGTTCGAGAGAAACCTTGAACTTGGCAGCGGCGCCAAGGCTGACGGTTGAGCTAGTAAGGAGGACAACGTTTTGGACAACTTTGGCCGACAGCATTGAATATCATAGTTCGCTATTTAGATTCATTTTCTTTTTTGCATATTCTAAACATGGTAAGCATATATGGGGAGAGTAGTAAGACGACGTTAAGCTGATTCGGTTACTTTCTAGGCTGAACCAAAATGGACACTTCGGTTCAAGAACCACAATATCACCGTGCTACTGCTTGTTTCTCCCGCCGAGCCGTTCGACTCTATCAAAGCCACTCTTTTAAAAGCACTTCAGATCCGTGGGATAAAAGAAATAAACGGGAAACCTGTGCCAGATGACGCAGCAGGAATTGAGCTCGGTGCCCCTCTTGAGCGGAATAACCTAGAGAAGGGCTGGCAGCCGCTGGCGATATCTGATGGCAAGACAGACGACGGGGCGGGGAAAGGGAAGAGCAGTGTTTTCAACTCTAGCCCACAGGGAGCAGATCTCAGAGATGCGCAGGCTGTGGCGTTCAGGTTTCGGACGCCAATGGAGGACGGTGATCTCGAGATGGACCTGGATGACCCGGGCTGGGATGTCCTGATTCCTTCGTATGATGATGCAGACGAAGATGAGTGACGGTGCTGCCTGTTTTTCCCCGGGGGTCTGTCGAATCTTTTAGTACGAGTGCATGATATTCAAGCAGATACATGGGCATGAGACATAGTAAACTCGATGCAGCCAGTCAACTCTTTGCAGTCCCCTAGCGCAGCTGCAACAACCGCTATGTCTGTTCATGCAATCGAATAAAAAAAGGACATGGGCATGGGCTTGAACCCGGTAAAAAGGTATCTGCAGACTGCTATCTTTGCGAGCTTCAAGATCACTCGCCATCAGGCTGGCGTCGGCCGTCTCTGGCGAGCGGACCATGCCGGCACCCTCAACATCTACGAAAACGGTAGATATACCCGCCAAAATAACAATTATTTCGCCATGAAACCGCCCTCTTTTCTCTATATTACCTATATGTAGATCTACCGCTGCCTGCGAGCCCAAGGTGCTCCAGCCTAGGGTGCTGCAGGCCTGTTACTACGGCAACCGGCGCCGGATAAACATGTTCGCTGGCAGCATCAACATTGCCCTATCAGGTCGAGTTCGACAAACCTGCAGACACGACTGGGGGGGAAAGCTAACAAGACGCAGTCTTCACGTCCTCTCTATATTAACTAGCACATCTACCTACGTCTCCGCCAGCTACCCAGATTGCTCTATTCTCTTACGTTTATATTGGTAGAACACTCAACGTGGTGCGCGAAATTTATTTGTTTACTCCTTAATTAATCTCCGCCCATCAGCATCAGCACCAGCATCCTCCACCACCAACACCTCCCGAGATATAATGGCGGCCTCTGGCGGCGCGTCTTCGATCCAAGTGACAGTTCGAGTACGGCCGTTTACTATTCGGGAGGCTGCACAGGTGTCAAAATGCGAGGATGGCATGCTTTTCATGGGCGATGGGTCCCTGGCTGGCAATTCAGCTCCAAAGCTACAACAAAAGGGCCTTCGATCTATCGTCAAGGTGGTCGATGATAAGTGCCTGTAAGCAAGTCTCTGGCTCCCTTGTCCTTTTATCGTCTTTGTGTGTCGCCTAGCTAACAGAATTTTCTTCTACTGCTATGTAGAGTATTCGATCCCCCTGAAGACAACCCCTTACAGCGATTTTCTAGATCGGTCATTCCAAACAGAACCAAACGTGGCAAGGACCAGACATTCATGTTTGATCGGGTCTTTGACGAGAATACCAGTCAGGGGGATGTGTATGAGGCCTCCACAAAACATCTGCTGGATAGTGTGCTGGAAGGATATAATGCTACAGTATTTGCTTATGGAGCCACAGGATGTGGAAAGACGCACACAATCACAGGAACCCCACAGCAGCCTGGGATAATCTTCTTGACGATGCAAGAACTGTTTGAAAAGATTGCAGAAAGGTCGGGAGAGAAAGTCACGGAGCTGTCATTGAGTTACCTGGAGATATACAACGAAACCATTCGCGACCTGCTTCTCCCCGGTGGAAGTAAACAGGGACTTATGCTCCGAGAGGATGCCAATCAAACTGTATCAGTTTCTGGCTTATCGACTCATCGCCCTCAGAATGTACAGGAGGTGATGGATATGATCATGAGAGGAAACGAATACCGAACAATGTCTCCTACAGAAGCAAATGAAACGTCCTCTCGATCGCATGCTGTGCTCCAGATAAACGTAGCGCAGAAGGATCGGAACTCAGACCTCAACGAGCCCCATACAATGGCAACCTTGAGCATCATCGATTTGGCAGGAAGTGAACGAGCAAGCGCTACTAAAAACCGCGGCGAAAGGCTAGTGGAGGGTGCCAATATCAACAAATCCCTTCTTGCCCTGGGCAGCTGCATCAATGCCCTATGCGATCCACGGAAGCGCAACCATGTTCCATACCGCAACTCCAAACTAACTAGGTTGCTGAAGTTCTCTCTCGGAGGCAACTGTAAAACGGTTATGATTGTCTGCGTTAGTCCTTCAAGCCACCATTTCGATGAGACACAGAACACACTGCGATATGCCAACCGGGCCAAAAATATCCAAACGAAGGTCACAAGAAACGTCTACAATGTTAACCGACACATTAAGGACTTCCTTGTTAAGATCGATGAGCAAATGGCTCTCATCAATGAACTAAAACAACAGCAAAAGGAATATGAGTCTGTTGCCTTTGCCAAATTCAAGAAGCAGAACGAAAAGAAAGAGTCTGTGTTACGTGAGTCGTTTGCACGTCTTCGCGGCGCGTACGAGCATGCCTTGCCCGAGAGGCAGGAGAAAATCGATTGCATGGTACGACTCAAACAAGTCAGTCGACGGATGTCAATGCTCTCTGCATGGATTGCCGCATTTGACAATGTGTGCGCAGCCCGTGGGCAGGATGATACCATGTATAATCTCCAGGCAGTTCGCAAGTCTGCTCAAGGAGTACTTTTTGAATTGGAAGGCAGTCGCCAGCACTACCATCAAAGAATTGGAAAATCCTCTTGGGAGAGAGCCTTGGATTCTGCTCTAGAAGTCGGTATAAAACAGCTCCGCGAGTTGGATACTTGTGATCATACGGATATAGAAAATCTCAAACGGGAGGCCCAGCTGTTGAAAGCTAATGCGCAGTCTGAGGCTTTGACTGCCGTTTCAGAGTGGGACAAAACCAGCGAATTTGAGACCGCTCAACGGCTTCTTGAGGCGAATTTTGAAACTATATCGGCTATTGAACATATAATGCAGCTTACTGAAGATGAAGCTATTGAAACCCGGGAGGAAAATTCTGGGAAAACTCCTGGAATCTTGCTGTTCCAGCACATCTAACGTTGTTAAACCAAATGGAAGCAGCCCCGTTAAAGCAGAAGCATTTCCACCTACCAAGGCGGGAACCCCGAAGAGACGGAAGAGAGTGAGCCTGATCGGCCGTGCTTCACTCTCGAAACCCCTTGTTCCCCCGGTCACCATAACTCCTCCCGTTAACCAGACACCGATGAAAGGCTCTCCTCGAAGGAGGAAAGGACCTGGGCTCAGGAAGAGTATTTACTTTACGCCCAAGAAGCCGGCAAAGCCTGGAAAGAGAAACGTCCGATGGAAAGACGACACCGAGGACGGCCCTCTCGCTGAATTCTCGAAAACTCCGCAAAAAGCTGCTCCTTCATCACCACAACCACCATCCGGGTCACCTTCGTCTCTACCGGTCCCGACAATGGGATCTTCTATTCCTCTACGGTCTGGCTCGAGGGAATCCTCTCCAATACCAACTCCACCATCTATACCAAGTACGTATTCCAAAAACTCGAGATTCCAGGCTGGTTTTTTGTCTAAGAAAGCCAATGAGGGCTCCCCCGGTCCCGCACCCGCGCCTCCTAGCTTAGCCAGACTCTCCTTATCGGACACGGAACCGCCTACTCCCCTACGCCAAATTAGCAACAGCAGCGCTCTGAATCGGAGGTCTCTCGACCGTGAATCTGACAACCATTCCTCTGACCGCGAAGTTGAGCCCCTCAAAATCGACAAGATGGACGCTGTTAAAATCGGCTCAGCCATGCGACGTATCTCTAGCGTTGGCTCTGGGCCTGGCGGATCCGCCAATCGGCCTCGTCACCGTAGCCCAAGCCTTTCATCAAACAGCCCACCGAATGAGAATGCCATGTTCACTGCCTCCCAGGCCCGGAGAATGGTGAAAAGCGAAAAGGACCAAGAAGGGAAATACGGCGTCTTAGGCCCGAGGACGTTTCCGGTCACAAAATCAGGCAGTCAACGACGAGTTACTTCCATCGATCTAAAAGTGAGAGACGTGAGCAATTCGAGCAGAGACGGCATTAGATTTAGCACTCCCACTATGTCTTCTGGTGGCCAGCATCGACCAAACTTCCAGGGGTCAGCGGCCAATGCTTGTCGTTGATTTATCATTCCTAATTTCTTTGCATTCCCCATTTGCTCCCCCTTTTTTCTATTTCTTACATAGTATTATACCAATTAAATTTCCGCGCAAGGGGGTGTTGTGTGTGTGTGTGGTTGGCGTTGTGTGGAATACAAGTTTAGCATTGCCGTTCGGTTGTCATTTCTCATTTGTATTAGTTAATAATTGTTCAACTTTTCTTGACAGAATGTACCTTTGTTTACGACGTTCTAATGATCAGTCACGTTTACATCATCTATCAATTTTAATGATTATTATTGTCCAGCGTAGAATAAGCTATTTGCCTGATTTCCTGTCCACCCCATATTCCGTTGCTAGCGAGTTATCCAATCTCATATCCGAAAATCGCCAGTGGCTCATAAAAAGGCACTCTTCTACCGTATTTCCAAATAATTTTCCAGCCACACATTATTAAAGACCAAGGTATCGTTCCTTCATTTGACTACGGAGCCCTAGCAACTTTAGCTTAAAGATCAGGGGTATCTATTTCGGAACACGGCGGATTCGACGTATCGCGGATAAGCGGGCGGACTATAAGTACCATGGCGTGGTATAGTATATGGAGTAACATTGTAAAGATGCACCAAGAAGAGGATACCAATCAACAGGGAGAAGAGGAACGCTATGGTTGAGTTTCAATGCATCGGAATACGAAGAAGGGAAACATGTTCAAATTTCACCAATGAAACGGATACGGGGAAGTCGGTTTAATTTCGAGCTCGGGCGAAGGTATACGGGACGGTCTAACGTGGGAGGATGACAGCGGTCATTCTAGGCTAGCCCCTCGGAACCTTTTAGCAAGTTGTTCACCATCCAAGTTGGAATTGTGAGAAGAGGTATGAGGTGAGGATGAAGTTGGGAATTGACGCGTAAAGGGCCATGATCGTTTTGGGGGCGTCTCACCGCTCTCCTGAAGTATTGTCACGAGCGTGGCCCAGCCAGCTGTATTAATCAATTGTATACCATCGGCGGGGTCATGTTTCGTAGCCACCGTGCAAAGGAGGGTTTCCTCATCCTGTTCGAAGTAAGGGAGAATGTTGTTTTAGTCTGGTGGAATGCTGTTGTTATATTGGGGGGAATGGTTCGTATTCTTACTTACCTGACTGAGGATACCCATTCCATGCAAGAAGGTGAGAAGATGGAAGTTGGAGACGGCTTTTATGGCTACGTCGGGATTATTGCTGCCGGTCAATTTAGTCGCAACACGTCTTAAATCTTGGCTTTCGCCAATGATCTCTCGGTTTTCAATCGGGAAAGACGAATCCGTGAAGACAGTAGTAGGCGTAGTTGGGAATCCGTGCGTGAGAGTGACAAAGAGATATTCAACAGGGAAGCTCGGTTTGGCGTTCTCCTGAACGCTGACTTTGTATTCGTTAATCCTCCTATAGAAGACCTCTGGGATATATCGTGTGATGTTTGCGTCGTTAAGCTCATCCTCTTGCTGAACCAGCATCACCGATGGGTCAGCAGATGGCTCGATGATGTCTGCCCTCACCATTTCAACAGCGGAATTGGAAGCCTGGTAAGCGCAAACGGAGATGGCACCGTTCTCATCTCCACTCAAGACGCATGTCACGAAATTTGAGCCAAACTGGCCAGTTTCACTCCATTTGCAAGGTTTTGGGTTCCGCGCTTGAAACTGGGATGCAAAGACAACCTCTAGCGAAGAAAGGTAGTAAGAATCAATATGTCGTTTGCAGATGACGGTTCCATCCCCGGCACCAGCATCGATAAGATCGGTGAATATTACACCTATCTTTTGCATTCCGCAAAGTTTGGCCACATGGTCAACATCCTTCTCGTTCTCCCATTCATGAAGTGTTACCCCGTCCACTTCGTCCACTTGCGGTGGTTCGTATATAGCCTGTACCACGGCTTTTATACCAAGTGGTACCTCTGTGTATTCTTCGTATGTTCCGTAAAGGAACCCAATCCTCTGGGAGCCGGTCTTGCGCCAGAAGTCCAGTAACGAATTGATAAGATCGGGGGAGGAAAACTCAACGTGATCGATCATTCGGAACTGTTGCGGCTGTAAGGTGATGGCACTTGGCTGGCATTTGGTACATATACCTTCAGGCCAAGCTGGATGTCCGGACGGACAATCCTTCCTCACTCTATAAAAAGGTTCTGATAGAGGTGGCATGTAGGAGCTCTTTAGTTCTGGTTTGTTGGTAAATGAGTTGATTTTTCGAAGATAGGAGTTGAATGAAAGGTGTTTTATCTTCTTTTCAGCCAGGTATTCGGGGGCATACGGCTCCAGCGGCATGCAGTAATCACACATTCCCTTGGGACCGTGTCGACACATCTTTTGGTCAAACGAGCGCGGGATTTTCCCATCTTTGGTGTCTAATCGGTTATCCAAATCCGATTGTCTTACGATTTCCCAGGGATTCTTTATTATGGCTGTAGGAGAGGTTGGTCGTTTCGTCGATGGAGTATCATCTCGTTTGGGTACGACGCCGCCATCTAAGCGGTGCGATGACTCTTGCTTTTTTATAGCCCCCGCCTGTCCATTTAAGGAGCCATTTGCTGTGGATTTTTGCTCCTCATAACCAACGAACAGCTTGTCACCATGCCTGCATCCTTCAAGTCAGTCACCACTGGCAAACACCAGCTTTAAGCCGAGCTGCCACTCACGATAGTCCAACCCTCTGTATGGAAACTCCCTTTAGCGTTGTAAGATTCCTCTCCTGACCGCCAGTGCCTATTGGTTTGTTTGAAAGAGAAACTGAAGTTGGATCAGTATCTTTAGGTAGATTCTCAAGTATCTAGTAAATAAGACATGACAGTGTCAGAATATTTGCCCAACAGAGTACTAAGATATATCCTGGAGACAGATAAAACCAGGCGGACATACCTTTGGCAGTAGAGCAGTAAATTGTTCCGTCGGGCTAACCGTCAATCGAAACTGGCCGTTCCGGCTCTCAAATCGTAGAATTATTGGCCGCGGGGAAGCCATGTCTAGAGGAAGGAATGCTCAAACTGTATCATTTGCTGTACCAGAGAGGAGGAGAATAGCCAGGGGAGTAAGCCGGAAAGAACGTAAAGTGTTATATAGTGAGAACGAGGCTGTTTATATGTAGCTGCGGCCGTGGGCTTTTGCTCTGGCCGTTGAAGTGTTTTCGTTGCTTGCTGGAAGAAGGCAGAAGCTCGAAGTTCGTCATAGCAGAAGCCAAATGTCTAAAAGCGGCATCACTTTAGGCGCTGTAGATGACTAGCGCCGCTTTAACCTAGGTACGAAGAAATTCAGGACACTTCTACGCCTTCAGCCAGATTCACCACTTTACGGAGCATACGGAGTACTGTGGTTTTATTTATGTTCATTCACAGGAGAAGACTTGAATATAACGGCAGGACTACGTAACTATACCCGGTGCTTCAACACAAGCACCTCTCTGGAAAAAAATTAACTAATCTGATGGATTGGTTGAGTTTTGCAAAAGGAATTGACATTTCTCATTAAGCATAAAACTAAGAGCACTAAGTCCCGCACTTCTCTCTCTTCTCTTGCTGGGGGATAAAAACTGAGTCTACGGAGGACCCCCAACTATTTGATGACTGAAGGTGTTTATGCGAACCTGACCTTTGAGACGGCCTGGTAGAAGCCCTTGCCTTGTGCCTCAGCGAGCTCGAGCTCGAGAGGAGTGGGTTTACGAGAACCATCAGCTCCCTAGAAGTTTGATGAACGTCAGCAACCATAGACTAACTATGCAAACAGAGACTTTTTATTTAAATCCCAAGAAGGGTGTTGGAAAAAAGGAGGGGACGACTTACAGCGAAGGTTCCAGCACCCCATGGGCTACCACCACGAACCTCTGAAACGTTTGCTAGCATTGGGAAAGTGTTCTTATAGCCCAATGGAACGAAAATCATTCCGTGATGGACGAGAGTGCTCATGGAGGCAATGACGGTCGATTCCTGGCCACCGCCGGGAGTGCCGGTAGAGACGAAGACACCGACGTACTTTCCAAAGAACTCGCCCTTGGCCCAGATACCGCCGGTCTTATCCCAGAATGCCTTCCACTGGGCAGGGAAGTTTCCATAACGGGTTGGGATGCCGAACAGAATGGCATCGTACGGGAGCAGGTCCTTGGGCTCAGCGACTGGGTAGCTCGACTTGGTCGGAGCATGCATCTTGGCCAGAACTTCGTCTGACAGAGTCTCGGCAATCCTGGATTCATAGAATGTTAGCTCGTAGACTGATCAGCCGGAAAGCAGTGCGCAATGCAACGAGATGAGGGGAAGGGTTGCATTACTGGTAGATGTCGGCGGTGCCACCAGCAGCTTCGATTCCTTTCTTCTCAGCTTCAGCCAGAGCCTGGATGTGGCCGTACATCGAGTACTAGTGAGGACGTCCTTGTTAGCATCTATGCGCAAAACGAGGGGAAGCACGCTTTCGGGGACAGCAGACGACATACAAAGACAATTGCGATCTTTGGAGCAGCCATGGTGTGCAGGAACCGAGTAAATGACCTCGAGTATGGAATTGAAGGATCAGAAGGAGTCTTGAAGAGAGCAGGGAGAGAGATAGAAAATGCAGCAGCTGCTTGGATGTCGTGTATGTCGATGGCGATGCTGGAAGCAGAACCTGTAACTACGGCGGGCGAGGGGCAGAGCTTATATAGTTATTTAATTGACAGCAAACTTGGTCCGTTCTTAACCTACATTGTACAATAAGGAGCTGCTGCTGCTGCTGCTGCTGCTGCTACTGCTGCGTATGACGTTCTCCGGGGCCCAGAACAGCTTACGGAAACCTTACAAAGGAGGCAAAAGGTGGGATGGGGAAAGTCCCCTCGACTTACTCGCGTCTTATTAACGATTGGAAATCACTGACATATAACTAAGTGGCTGCAAGTACCTAGGTACGGTGCTAGGTAGGTAGTGCCCCTTTCCCGCCCTCCCTTGCTCGCATGCTGCTTATGCCCTCTGCAGACTTACCTCTTGCCCACTCCTCAACGCCCTGCTTCATGCGTACATGCTGATGATGGACGATGGACGACGATGCCCCAACTTCTGCTTGGCCTTCCAGAAGGAAAAAGAAAGGATAAAAAAAAAAAGAAAATAAAAAACATTGGAAATGCTCAAATAATCATGACCAAATCTTAGTAATTACCTAACCAGCGCCCAAAATAACAAGTCATGTGACTCTCACTACGCCCTGAAACACCATGCCCCTTGCTCCTGATGCCTGAAGGGAGAAAAGGGGGTTTCTTCTTCTCTGCTGGGAGCAGTTGAGCTGTTCGTGGACTGAACACATCCATACAGAGTAGACGGACCACTGGACAGCTTCAATTCGTGATGGCAACGACTCCCCAGCCCTGGATGAGCCAGTTCTCCGGGTATATCAACTCCGCTCCAGGCATAGAAAACACCCTACGGCTCTTCCAGTTCTCCTGCGTCATCCTCGGGTCTCTTTCCGGAGCCTCTCCCTCGCCCTGGGCCAGAGCTGGAGGCCAGTTTGCGCTGAGTATGTAGCAACATGCATGCATGGATTGAACATGGGGGTGCAGTTGGTGTAGAAGCAAATTCACTTTTATTTTAACCATGGGTCCTAAACTAGGTCGTCGCTATTTTCGGTACTTCAAGTTTATCGACCACTTTCAAAATGCATGGACAGCGTACACACTGAGCGACAGTGCCCCGCCTCACAGGCGAGGATCAGTTGCATCGACCCTCGAGTTCAGCAAGTGGAGCCTTCTGGGGATATACCTCTTGCTTGAAGGCGTGACGATCGTAGGTTTAACTATTTGAAGGGCTGCTAGCTTTCCAGCTAGTGTCGATATATTCTAACAGTAACTGACAATCTCCATAGTTTGATGCGCTGGGCGTTCAAAGGACAGCTTGGGGCGACAGAGCTTTGCTTGAGAGCCACAAGTTCTGGCTGTATGGCCTGGTCTTCTCGCTCCTGAGTACCCTGTGGCAGATGGTGCAGCTACGCCAGGCCCCAAAGTCACCAGCAGCAAGCCAACAGACCAAAAAGGACTCCAACGCAAAGGATAGTAAAGATGGCTCGGAAAAGACACCTTCTGTTGAAAAGCAGACTGTCAACAACGCTGACTTTACCGTTGTCCACCAGGCCCTGATGAAGGATCTTATTATTACCGGTTGCGACATCTGCATTCCCGGGCACATTCTTGGTTGGATCCCGATATCTGCCACGATGATGGGCAGCGCAGCTGTTTTGAGTACGCTGCTTGTTGGACGAGACCGTTGGGTCCAGGCCCATGGAGGCTCCCGGTAGCGAGCTGGTCAATAATCGCTTACTGTATATAGATGGAAGATATGTGCATTGGTCGTCAACTGGTATCTAAACTAAGATTCCCTTACTTTCAACGATACATATTTATACCCTCAGAATTTCAGAAAGAAACGTTATTTTATAATCACTGTCTAGAAATTTGGGAAGATACATAGTGGGAGTCCTAAATCTGCTCATATCCAAAATCATATCTGGGCACTATAGCCGTATATAGAATAATAATTTATTTAATACCGCAGAAATAATTAAATTTCAGTTCAAATCCACAACTATTATAATACAAACGCGCGGGAAGTTGCGGCCTTTTTGTTCCGTTCCGTTCCTCGTTAGTTAACCCGTGAGTTAGGCAGCAGTGAGATTTTTTAGTTAACTAGTAACAGCCGTTACCCAGCACTGCAATTCCCTTTAAACGACCTCACGGCCACAAACATTGCTCCGAAATCAATCCCCTCTGCGTCGAAACCAGTCTACACTTGCATCGGTTATAAATTACCCATCGGTGTCAAGATGTTGGAAAACCTACCTCCCGAACTTATCTGGGCCATATTCTCCGAAATGGGAGACCGATTTGACTTTAAATGTTTGTCCGAAGTGTCAAAAGCTCTCAATGCTTTTACAAACCCGTTTCTGTACAAGTCTATCCTCATAACGACGAGCAGGAAAGCAAGCGGGATCATAAAAGCACATCAGAGGGCTGGAGTGCTCCGTTATACCAAGGATATTCAAGTTGCGAGCGAAAAGGATGAGCGCTGGCTTGACCCGAATAATCCGAATCAGATTCTCTGGGAGTCCAGATTCTCGCCCTGGCTTAAACTACCGAGAGAAAGGTATCCAGAGCTTCTCGATGAGTTGAAATTCTTAGAATGTGATGAGAGTACTACTGATCTCACTTGCCTGGAGCTGGGGGACAGGAAAAGGTGGATTGACACGGAACTTGATGCTCGGTTTTGCGAAGAGGCTGGTTACCTTGAACTCAGACTTCAAGTTCTATCCATTCTAATCAGATGCCCGGAAGGGGCGCTGAGGAGTTTTAGGTGAACTTATAGCCGCCGCTTCCCTAATCAATGACATGACTTGATACTAATATAACGTATTAGATGGGACCGGGGTGACGGAATTCCCCCCGAAATCCTAAGTGAAGGAGGTTACCTTCCTACCAGACAAAACTTACTAGAGACCCTGATTATACGCGCCAATGGTTGGCGTGGCTGCAGCTTTTATTATGCTCATATATTCACAAACCTTAAAAGGCTGGTATGGAGCGATATGGGGGCTAGCCACGAGCTTGATACTCAAAAAGATGACATTAAGAGACTTCGAGACTGCCTTGAAGCTGTTTCGCACCAGCTAGTCTACCTTGAGCTCGGGCTTAAATGGTGGGAGTATTCGTACTATGATCCAGAAGATGAAGAAGCCACTATTTCGCAAGAGATCATGAAACCTAGTCCTGGTCCCGGAGGCAAGAGGTTCCAATTCCAGAACTTACAACATCTATCTTTGCTGGGGTTTAACTTCCAAGATGATGGAGTTGACTTTGTCGGGGACTTGAATCCAGCAACTTTAAATACCTTAACGATCAGGCTCTGTGGTCAGGAATGGCCAAGCTTCCTTGATCGGCTCAATGCCTCAAACCCCCCATTCAACCTATGCACGGTAGAGATACTGTCCTGGGAAGATCCTGAAAATTGGAGTGGCGAGAATCATGATATAGCGAGGTTTATCATGAGCTGCCAACCACTTGAAAACCTCTATGTTGCTGTGAGAGAACAAGATGGAGCGCTAGAATTATGGGAAGCATTATTACGACATCAGGACTCCCTTAGAGCATTCGTCTACTATGTGGACCCGTCTGTCGGCACCCGTCTAGATCCTACTCCATTCCATGTAAACAACGTTTCATTTTCGAAACCCCACAAACACAACATGAACACTGAATGGAATCCCCTCAGACATCTTAATCTAGAATTTCTAGGACTCAGCTATGACTTTAAATACTTGGTACACTCCATCCAAAAAAACCTCTATTGACACTAACAATATCAGAAGCTGACTCTACATTGGCACTATAGGTTCCGGTTCTAGCTCCGGTTGCAAAAAACAAGCATTTGAAGGTCTTACTTATCCGAAGAATAGATACTGGTGTTATTGATGGCCTGGAAGCAGTCGAGCATCTAAAAGAAGAGGAAAAGTCTCAAGATAATGATTTTCTAGACTTTGATGAGCTTGTTCAATGGGCATTTGGACTAGAAGGCTTTCCATCGTTACAAATGATTGGGGTCGGCGATTTTTCAGACAGTATAAAGCCCCGTAGGAATGCACTGCTCTGTCGTAAGTCTGACCTAGAGTCCGAGGGGGTGTTCCCTGGTAGGAGCTATCGCTTTGTTACAAAGCACGATCGGACCCAGCAGAGATTACTTCAGAAGTATGCTGACGCGATGATTGCTTGTCCTACCGACCATATTGAGGGTTGGGAGTGGTGTTGATATCTTCTGTCAAAAATACTGTTAAGAGATTCGCATGCTATCTAACCAGTTTACCCTGGTTTCGATTTAGTTACATCTGTGAACCAATTATCCTTGCCGCCTTGCTGTATTGACGGATGTGAGCGTGTTGGTGACAACATTTTCGTACTTGTCAATCTAGACTATCTATAGCCCAATTAGATGACATATGTTTTGATTTAATTTAAGTTCCCACTAGCTAGTAGGTAGTTAACTCGTTATCTATTCCAACAAGTTTTATTGGTTAATAATGAATAGCCCCTGGGCTTGAATTCGACACAGCCAGTTAAGCATAACTAGTATAGGCGCACGAAGATCCACTAACGCCAAATTGGGAAGTTTGCTCGTATCTCAGCCTCCTTCACTGCCTCACACAGCCGCCAGCTGGATACGACGAATATCCGCATTTACTCTTTAGGCAAGACTCAATACGCCCCGACTCAGGGTATAAGATAGCATGATATGCCATGCTCTTCTCAATTTTTTTTCACCTTAGCTGGCGCAACCAAACCCTCTATTACTGTAGATATACCTCCTACACATACCATATAATAAAATTTTACCGCTATAATCATAATGGCATCTTATACCACAGACTTGAAAACCCCAACAGACTTTCAAACAGAGGTCAACCAACTGTCTGAGAAAGAAACAGAAGTTCTCAAATCTTCCGCTGCATCGGATACAGACATCGAAGACGAGGCACCACCTGCATATTCAGACTCCACCTCAGCCACCCTCCCTCGCAGTGGACCGCAAGCTTTTGCTCCCGGGCGATCACTATATATTAACTCTCGCGGGATTGGTATGATCCGTCTTCCAACCCCTTGGTCGGAGTTAGAGATTGGAGTCTACGACCAAGATGGATCGTTAGCCTATGTATCATCCAGAGACAAACGTTGCTCAGGAGATGCAGTTCTATCATCACCGAAACTCGGTGATTTGCTCAGTACTACTTACTTCTTTGGGCCTGGTCGCCACCCTATTCTCCGTCAACTTTATCCAACACCGTTCAATACCGGCGGCGATGATATCAGCAAAGGCATCACTGTTGCTGGGAAGTTTATTTCACGAAGTGCCTATTTCGAGATGCCAGATGGCTCGAAATTTGAATGGAAATATGTTCGCCTTGGCTATGATGGAGGTGGCAGAAGCAAGTTGCTAGTCCTTGAGAAGATTGAAGGTGAAGGAGACGGATCGCGTCGGAGAGTTGCGCAACTCATTCGAACCAAAGAAACCATTCCGCAAGGGAGCTCAAAGCATAGAGCTGGATGTGGTGGAGAGCTGGTTTTGGGCCAGGATGCTCACCTAGAGATTGATGAAGCTGTTATTGTTGGAACTTGTCTTTTGATGTTGAAAAGGGAGGTTGATCGCCGGAGAGCTATTCAAATGATGGTTATGACTGGTGTAGTTGCTAACTAGTATGGATGAGATGGTCCTTTTTTCATGGCTTTTTCTAGTATGTTCGTTTCTTGCTGAATACCCACGGTTGAAATTTAAGTCATTGGTTATTAGAATGTTTCCTTTGGTTGCGATTACTGTATATATTGCATTTTGTTATAACTAAATTGAATACCTGTTATAGCCTCTCACATATTATCGATTCCCTAAGACAGTAAACAACTTTGATATTCAAATTGACTGGGAGTGAACCGTCATTGTAATAAAGGGGTGTAAAAGATAGGAGTGCCGTAAAAGATGAGATAGTAGGAGAGAGTTGGTATGGGACCGCTCGGAGTGAGCTATCATCCTCAAGAAAGACGAAACAACACTAGGGCATGAAAGTAGGTATACTTAGCCTGTAATGGAGGCTATTCGCTTCTCATGGTCCGCCTTGAGCTTTTTGATAGTGCTCATAAAGAGCATATTCGACACATACACGGGCATGATCTGAACACTTATTTTCGCTATCCAGTGTGGCAAACAGCCTGAAACAAATGTCTCCCTGTCCGAACCAACCATCTTCAATGCGGATCGGGCGAGGGAGTTAGAATGGGGGACCATCATCCCTTCCTTAACATTGTATGAGCCACTCCTGGTCTCGCCAACAATCAAGGCTTGGACATTAATGTCTTTCCCATCCATTTGCATCTCCATGCTTAACGAGTTAGAGAAAGATGCAACAAACGCTTTCGCTCCAGCGTACACAGTGAGATAAGGAGATCCACGGGCTCCAACGGATGCCACGTTCACAATCAGCGAAGGTTGCCGTTTCTTTCCTGCGGTTGTTTTGGACGCAGTGTGGTCTAATAGTGGTATAAGGATGCGTGTGAGCTGTGCCATAAAGCGTAGATTAACGTTGAGTACAGTGTCAATTTGTTCTCCTGTGTATGACTCGTAGGCCTGGAACAGACAAGAAGGTGGAAGGCAGCCCATCCCCCCAACATTATTGATTAGAATCGAAAGGTGAATACCCTCCACTGCCTTATACAGAGCAGACATCCTTGAGGGTTCTAGCAAATCCTTCGACGCATCGCACATATATTGACGGGTTTGGATGTCTGGGTACTGTTTGTGTAAGTCCTCCGTAATCGACTGTAGCTTCTCGTTGTTTCGACCGTGGAGGACGAGGTTGAAACCATTCTTTGCTAGTTCATAGGCCATGGACCGGCCAACTCCATCGGTAGCCCCAGTGATAAAGGCGTATGTCTGTTCGCCGTCATGTAGGAACTTGTGGAGGCGTGAGGGGCGGAGGAACTTGTATGTCACAGAAAGGAGGTTTAGGAGGATACAGACGACTGTCAGGATCCCTATACTCGCAAACACTTTTTCCCATATCATGATGCCTAATTCTGAGGTTTCAGCATAGAATCCTTGCTTCAACGCTTGGGTGATTTTTGGGCTGTTGGGGGTTTGGAGTTGAAAGAAGCTCTTCGGTGGGTTGATAATTTTTCGGGTCGTTGACGAACTAGTTAACTATTTGAACGGTTACACACGATCACAATTTAAGATGGCATCTCGCTTGATTCTCGCTAACTAACTAGTTATAACTAACTAGTTAATTCTCGATTTCTAGTGAACGCCACCTTGAAGTAGCCAAAGAGATGCAGTCCTCAGCGGTAGATGTGTTCACCTGCGCTAATTATTGGCGGCCACCTAACTTTGCTCTTCGCGTTGCTTTAGTTATGAAAGCTAGATTAGATTAGAAAAACTGTGCATTAATCCTTGACATGGATAAATCTACCACTTGCGGTAAACATTGGATTTTTCCATGGTTTGGGATTGTTGGAGTCGTTTTAAAGTCGACTAACCCCTTTGTCTTCATAGCTTGACCCTTAAGTGGCATAAATCTTCCGAGAGCTGGCTACTAACTTTCCAGAGCAGCCATAATCAGGTCAAGACATGTCAGCATAGCCTGATTTGTTTTTGCATAGAATTCAACATGCCTAGGCAGCTGGATCGCTGAACAAATAACACTGGATGCGCTGTTGAAGGCAGCCGCCATAGCAAAACTTTGACTTTGGCTGTCTTGATTGCTATTGGAGGTTACCAGACACGTGACAACGACATGACGTCACTAGGCGCGCGTTTATTAGACGCGTACTAAACTGGGCGAACGCGTTTGTCAACAAACATTCGTCGTTAATATTTCGGCCAGCCTTTTTTGGTCGAGCGACCAAGGACTTTATTTCGAAACAAAGATGGCTCGCGCACTACTAAGCCCTCGACGAAACGAGCTCACTGTATCGACTGGTGGTAGCTCGGACTGGCGGTCTTTGGACGACGAGCTGACTGGGACTGGGCCAGACGCGGATGAAGGCAGCGCATCTACAGGGCAGAAACTTGCGGACGGCTTTGAAAAAGATTATGCGATTGATATTTCATCTTTACTTACGCCAAAACCACTAAAGCCCTTTCGCAATTTACCCAATGATTTTATTCCAAACAAAAGGACAAATAATCATACATCAAACTCGCGTACGGAAGGGTATTCCATTACTGCCCAAGGCACCAAATCCAAGATTACCCCCAAGGACTCCAAGGATTTAAAGGCAGCGCGTTCCCAAGACTCTATACCACACGACCTGAAGCGTGAAGGACCTTACCCTTTATACCCATCACAACCTACCTCTGAAATTAACATCACTGCCGAATTACGAAAACTCTGGGAGGGACCTAACAAAAGACCGCGTACATTTCCCGAGCCATTAGGTGAATATATAAAACCCAACATTAAAGGATTACATAGTCCTAATGACCGACCTCGATTTCATGATACAACAAAGACCAAAACCAAAAGGGTTATTCCAGAGTCCCCCGCGGGACGACGTGGCTCTAGCAGATTTGGCACATATCCAAAACACAGCGGTGGAGTACGCGATATTCCAAGAACATACGGACACTTTCATCCCAGTCCTCCTCTGTCACCTACAAGCTCTGATGTACTGTATGGTGATAGGAAGAGCTCAGTCATAAATACTTCAACGGGTAATTTCCCAGACTGGCCTTGCGAGTCAAAAAGGGCGTCAACATCAAATCCGAATCTTCCGCTATCACCTGCTGCCTCAGATGGCCTTGAAAGTGATAGGACAAGCTTACTCGGGTCGCCAACCCGGTCTTTCGGTGTACCCGATATGTCCCGGAACAGTCTTCAAAGTTGGGATCTCAACTATGGTAGTTCAAGGGCTGCATTTAAGCCACCAGCCAAGCTACTCGAGACTGATACTACACTCTTAGATTTTGTGGGCGATAAGCCCACTAAACAGGGCTCGAGATTTGCTCCAAAAGAGAGGCCTCCTTTGCGTGACCTTTCCAGTAACGGGTTGAAGACAAGGGATGCTCTTAGGAAAGAAGCTCAGATACGCTGTGCTAGTATTGCAAGCTCACAAAAGGAAAATTTCCATCCACGGAAAACACCTGAATACCTCTACCAAAATGGCCGCCAAGGTGGAAGAGAGAATTTTCCTAGAAACGCTTTCAATAACTTCGCAGATTTTGCAGATGCTCTTTCAGAAAGCCATAAGACTACTAGAAGCCCGACTTCTGGTAGTGACACAGGCCGCCTTAGAAAACAAACAACCCGCTTCTACCAAAAGAAATCGAGCGGTAACGAAGAATTTTTACCCTCAGCGGATGTCACCTCGAATATAGATACGGACCTTCACATTGATACAAGCGCTCTTCTGCATGGCCTAGAAACACATTTCTTGCCATCCAGGGTATCTGGTACCGCTGCAGCTGTCTACCGTGCCGGAGATAAACGGCGCCGCTCCATGCCAAAGGCTGCTCGATTCTCTCGATCTCGCCACTCTGCTGCTTCAATCACCGACTTTCGGCCTGGGGATGCGGATCTAACATTGACGGTCTCGACGGGAGTTTCGTCTGTTCAGCTTGCCCAGGGAGCCACTGCAGGGGAAAGTCACTCCATAGCAGATAATACTGCTCATAGGGACTCTGTGAACCCGTTGAACCTGGTTTTTGACCTTCAATCACGCTTGAAATGTTTAGAGGTAGAAAGAGAGAGGTTGAACCGGAATATGAAACGACTAAATCGTGAGAATCTTGCACTCTCTGATAGAGTCCAGGTTTTGGAAGCCGCCAATTCCACCGCGGGTGTAAGAATTGGGGAACTGAGCGACGAAAATCTCAGCATGAATAACTTCCTTCGATCTCTTGGAAAGAGCACAAGGGCCGAAGACAGGCAAGCACAAACATCAATCAGTAATGCGACAGACCTGCGTGACCGGGAGGCTATGTATGAGAAGACATGCCTTCCCGAGGATGACCACAAATCCATCGCAGGGAAATACACTTTCAAACAGGCTGAAAGAGAAGTCCTGGGAGCTCGAGACCTGTTCAGTAATACGCCAAACACAGGGGAAGCCGGCCCTCCTACCTCCACTTTAGGCGAAGCACATATCGATCACACCGTATTGACCCTAGTCGATGTACGTTCATATTCCAACTCCCCACCCCGTCTTAAAGAAAACTTGTTTGCCTAACAGTTGGTTCATATGACAGGACCATGAAGTAGAAGATCTGAGAAGAAACCTGGAAGCCGCACGGTTAGATCGCGCAATGGGTAACACCTACCGCATATCTACCGTCAATTACGACATCTCCATGCCTCCTCTATCTCAGGTGCTTGCAAGCATCGGTGTTGGAGCCGAAAAAGATGACCCCGACCCTTCTACCTCTGAAGAGGAAGACATGTCCACATTACCTCCAATAAAAAATTGGGTACGACGTGGGTTATAGAAGTTTGATGTTCATGGTGGTTCACCATAGGTGTATACCTTTACGAACTGTCCCCGGTCTTCACTCCTTGTAACGCTGAGTGGTCTGTCAAGTAGGATAGTATTCGTGAGCCCTGTATATAGCTTGATTGCATTTGCAATTTCTTCTGCACATTGGATAATGCCCAAGGCAATTTCCGTTTCTTAAATTTTGGATATATACATAATGGCCTTAGCCCAAGAACATCCCCAAAAGATGTTCGTTGAATACAATCAAGGACAATGGTCATTGATTGCGGCGGCGCCGGTGTTCGCTGAACTATCACCGAACGCGCCTGGTTAGTAATCAGCAGTACCTTGTAGGTTACTGTCCTACCGTCAGCATGCCATTCCTGAAATTCGTATAGGCTCATCCGATTGCCCCAAGGTAGTTCTGTTTCAGCTGATTGATTGATAATAGCTCCCAAGGTTGGATGGTATATCATTAGACCGGACTCATCTTGTTGCTTTCCGTTTGGTCACTTTGAGGTTAGATAGCTAATCAAGATATGACAAACAAGCTAGAACACATCGTCGCTGTTCTTTTGGGTACTATCCATCCCATGCGCTCGTCGTTTGGCAGGCAAGGAGGAAGGTGAAGAAAGCTTTGTCTGCATCTTCTGTTTTGATGGCGTTCCTCTCGACGGAGGTGCTGCGGCAGATTTGTCCCTTTCAGATATCTCCTCGCTCACAAAACAGCCAAGGCCTGCAAATGCTTCTAGCAGTGTCCTTTCGTAATACTCTCGGAGGTCATAGCCACCAGCTAGAACTCTCGTATCCTCACGTAGCGGGTCAAGGTATGTTGACGGGTAATGATCACGGAGCTCGTAATAGTCACGGCTGTTGAGCGATGCTGCACCGGCGAACGGATCATATGGTTTCTCTGGCTCAGGGGTCTTGATCTTCCTTAGGCCCTTGATCAACCCTCCACCAGCGGCTGCAGCATTGCCTGTCCCGGCAGCCAATGGGGCTTTGTTTGCGCTCTCTGCAGCTCGTAAGGCAGCTTGTTTCCGCTTCAATCTCTCTTCTTCGCTGCGTCTGGCGGAAGACTTCTTAAGCTGATGGGCTCGTTCAGATTCACGGGCGACTGCTTTGGCCTCCTCAGCATCTCCGGATGCAAGGCGGGCTATCATGTCTTCCCGACTAGCAATTTTAGCCTTCCTCTCGTTCTCGTAGTCTAGCCTGGCAGCTTCACGTCGTCGACGGAGCTCCTCTTGCTCGGCAGATTGGTGAAGTTCAAAGGATGCATACTCCTGTCTGGCAAGGTCCTTATTATGACGAATAGAGGCGGAGTTTTCTGCGGAATACTGGGCGAGCTGGGCCTCCGTCTTTGCAACGTCGATGTCATTTACGAGATTGGCTATGATCTCCTCTCGTTGTTCTAGAAAATCATCCCAGGCACGTTTGTCGTCGAATTCTTCTTCTCGTCGGTTTAAGCTATGAAAATGTCAGCCATTACCAAGGTTATTTGGAGGCTTCCTGTCTGGAAGGGGGCGCCGTGGAGTGACATACATGCCCATTACCCGTTTTCTGATATCAACCTCCCTCTCAACCGCAAGGTCCCCAAAGGTCTGCTTCCGAAACTTATTTTTTCGCAGGGTTTTTCGGCAGCCGGCAACTGGACAGGGTGCAGGCCCTGATGAAAAAATGCGGTCGACGCATGATTCGCACATTTTATGGTAGCATTCCGGATTGATGAGAAATCGCATGTCCGGATTGAGGTATCTGGATGACTTGCAGACGGGACATACTTCTATCGGATGTTGTTGCTAGCATTAGCAATCTGAGAGAATGATTACCAAAGCTACCCACGGAGGCGAACTTACCGTCATCGTCCCCTCTCTGAAGGGTGCCGTTGGATCGGGCTGGCATGTTATCTGATATGGCGTGCGCGCAAGAATGCTATGCTCCCAGTAGACAAATGGAAGAAAACAGGGCCTACCGGCATCCAGGAGTTCATCGAATGCAGCACCCGGGGCAGCACAGGGCGAAGCACGGCCAGCACGACTGCGTTATCCTCCAGACATGTAACCACAGAGTGCTCCGTAGCATGTATGTAGCTTGCAACGTAGCTTGCGCCGTCGTGCCTGGGCTCGCCTGAGGTCGCGCAAAAGGAAAAACACCTTTCACGTGACATGAGCCGGGGTCATCTCGGGGACTTTTTTACTGGTCCGAGCTCCGACTGGGAAAAGTTAACTTAGGTAAGCAAGCTCTTTATCTGATCTTCTCGCTTCTTGCTTTATTAGTATGGCTCGTGTTACTCCGTACCTAAGTTACAGCTTCAACCTCCTCGACCTCTTCCCGCCCAGCGCTTCACTCGAGATGCTGTCGCGGGCCGGTAGCGTTGCCGCCCAGCTTCTCCAGCGCGCCCAAGATGTGCTCCGTATCGCGCCTCTCAAACATCCAGGACACCCCATGACTCCCTAGGTACCTTACCTCGTCTCGGACTGTGCCTTCCACCCGCCAAGCTCACCCAATGGATCCGGGCTTTCCCACAAGGTTGTGCTTGGCTCGTGAACAAATGGCGAACGAGATATTTCGAAGAGCGATGCAGCGGCCATTGACACCAAAGGGCGCCCTTTTTGTTGGTAACCGCCTGGTGTATGCTCCTCGGTGGACCTGAGCGTGTCTCAGGACGAAAGCGGTGTTCAGCTACGTCAAAGACAGCGTCTTTGATGGGCGGGCACCAGCAACGGAGTTCTCCAGATCAAGAAATATGTGGCCCTTTCTATACATACCCTGTGTATAAAGCACTCCGTATTCGTGCTCTATACCTGCATATAAATAGCTTCCTTCTCTGTGGGGGCAATTTTCCTCCCTCTCCCCATTCCTTTTTTTCATTTATTTCCCCCAGGAGCTGGCTGTAACCTTGGGGGTTAACTCTCTCCTTTTGCACCAGCTCTTCCAAGAATGCCTCGCGGGACGCCACATATAAGAGATCTAAACTCTTCCGCCCTCTTCATTCTCACGGACTCCGTTTGTTAATTGCGTCTTTTCTAATATCGGGGAAGTTTATCCTTTGGAAAGGATGGCTCGGTTCGCGCTGCTTGGCCTATATCTTGCACAGTGCTCCGTCTTCGTCTTTGGACAAAGACACAATGAGCCTGTGACTGTCTACGCAGGCATTACTCCTGCTGCTGCTGCTGCTGCTCCCCAGATAACCGCAGTAACCGGATGCCATAACCATGGCCCTGAAACGTATGTGATACAGTTTTTGGTTTATCGATAGGATTTGACTGACATATTGTCCAGATATTGTATTGACCCAACTGGCGGAGAGGTGCTTGTATCCGGTGAAGCTACAGCTACAGGCCCTCCACCCTCACAATATACAGGTTGTCATAACCACGGCTCGGATACGTGAGTGAACATTCCAGGGCTGACATTTTTAATTTTTTTTCTCTGTCTCCATCCCTTCCCTCTTTTTGGAAAAATTCATTCTGACGTGCACACTCTCTAGATATTGTTTAGGGCCTGGCGGATCCGAAGTCCAGATAGTATCCGAAGGATCTTCGGGCGGAGGATCTTCAGGCGAAGGCCATGATCACGAAGAACACGGCCATGAAGGGAGCAGCCATGAAGGTCTAAACTGTCATTTCCATGCGGGAGTAGAGTAAGTTCTGTGACAACCATAGGAAAACTGGCTGCATACTCAAAGATACTAGGCATTGTGTTCCTACGGGCGGAGGTGAGGCACCGCCTGTGTCCTGTGATCGAGTTGATCGAGACTACAATATTCCTTACCGTATCGGGTCTCTATTTGCCATCTTGTTCACAAGTGCAATTGCTGTGTTTGGCCCCGTCCTGATGAGGCGGTTCTTTGCATCAAAGATGAATATCTTTGTGTTCACAATCATCAAGCAGCTTGGCACAGGTATCATGATTGCAACTGCTTTCATACATGTTAGTATATTCATCCCAAAGGCCTCGGGAACCATATCTAAC